TAGACCCCATAGACCAGTCCATAAATTGTATATATGTCTTCCCTGCACTCATACAGTATGCTAGTTCCATCAAGGGTACTTATCAGCTCTCCCTGGATGTTAATAGCAGTGCTAAGGGTAGTGGTTGTCCTGGTACATACTGAGAATGGCCAATTACAACACTCTCAGGACAATTTTTACATATATAAAGCAATATTACACATATATGAGTACCAAATATTGCAATACACAGAAAAAATAGAGGGAAACGGTGAGGGAATGGTGAAAATGGCATGCTCGTCGTCGGAAACAGCGAGCATGAGTGGTCGGAGTTCGGCGGGAAGGACTTCCGGTTATGGAAGCTTACTAATGTTGCCGAGGGGCATGTGGGGATGGCACATGGGGTGTATCTACGGAAGGGGACTTGTAATGGTGGAAAACTTAGTAAATACGGGGACGAGGTATTCGGGAATTACTGGCAGTGTGCGGCGATGATAGCTTTTGAGCTAGTTAGCTTAGCCGAGCCGGTCGGTAGGGCAAGCTGATTAGTTATAAATAGCGTGAGGTCGAGGTGTGATGTCGTTTGTCATCAATCGGGGGAATCCCAAAAAGGAAAACCCCAGTGTGAAAGAACTGACCTGGCGCCCCTCACTCATTCCATCCATCCATAGCCATGCTCCCTCGTTTCTCCCTTCCTCGTCGTCTCCCTCTTCCCAGAGCTGCCCTATCCAGGCCCTCTTTTCTCCCCCGTCGTCGCCACTTTGCCACCGCCGACAATGAGCAGCACTCTGTATGTCGCGTCATGCTGAATCTCCCCACTTTTCCTTATTTTTTTCTTATCATCCCTTTAGATGACAGTTCGTGATGCCCTCAATCTGGCGATGGAAGAGGAGATGCTTCGAGACGAAACTGTATTCATTCTTGGAGAGGAGGTCGCCCGCTACAACGGCGCGTACAAGGTATCGCTCTACTAGTTGGTTCTCTTTCAACTCGGCGCACTCAACCCTCACCTCAGGTCACAAAAGGGCTCATGGATAAATTCGGTGAGAAACGCGTCGTCGACACCCCTATCACCGAGATGGGTTTCGCTGGTTTGGCTGTCGGTGCTGCTCTGCAAGGCCTCCGTCCAATGTACGTCACGATCCGGTTGTCCCGAAATACTCACCTTTGACCTTGACTCGTCTAGTTGCGAGTTCATGACCTTCAATTTCGCCATGCAAGCCATTGATCAGATCGTCAACTCCGCCGGAAAAACTTACTACATGTCGGGCGGCAATGTCCCATGCCCTGTCGTTTTCCGCGGTCCTAACGGCGCCGCTGCCGGTGTTGCTGCTCAACACTCACAAGATTATGCTGCTTGGTACGGTTCAGTTCCCGGACTCAAGGTCGTCAGCCCATGGAGTGCAGAGGATTGCAAAGGTCTTCTCAAAGTAAATCGTTTTTTTCTTGTTCTGGCCTTCCTGGATGTTTATTTCTTCTTTAGTCCGCTATCCGCGACCCTAATCCGGTTGTCTTCCTTGAGAACGAAATGATGTACGGTGTCTCCTTCCCCATGTCCCAAGAGGCCATGTCGGACAACTTCCTTATTCCTATTGGCAAATGCAAAGTTGAACGGGAAGGAAGTGATGTCACAATTGTCGCCCACAGCAAAATGGTTACTCACAGTATGGAAGCTGCGGAAGCACTTGCCAAGGAAGGCATTAAAGCTGAAGTCATCAACCTCCGTAGCATTCGTCCGCTTGATATCGACACTATCATCAAATCGGTCAAGAAGACCAACAGGTATATTTCCTGTCTTTTGGCACTGTCTGCTGTACTGATAAATGTATAGACTGGTTATTGTTGAGGGTGGCTTCCCAGCTTTCGGTGTTGGCAGTGAAATTTGCGCTCAAATTGTTGAAAGCGAGGCATTTGATTACCTCGATGCCCCAGTTGAACGGGTGACCGGCGCTGACGTCCCTACACCAGTATGTGATACTTACCTCATTCAGTGTTCATCTCCTGACGATCACTCCAGTATGCTGCCAACTTAGAAGCCCTTGCATTCCCAGATACACCTTTGATCGTAAAGGTCGCAAAACGTGCACTTTACCGCACGAACTGATTTTATATCCTTTACATCTGCTCGACCCCAAAGAAGACGACTATCCTTTAGACACTAGTTTTTGCATTCGCTACATCTTCGCAGTCGTCATAGATATCTTAATAAACCCTCTATACCATTCGACATGATTGACATGTTGCTTAAATTTACTGTTTATACCCTAGACACTGATTTTTGCTATCTGGTGCAGGCGAATGCGGACGGCATTTGCATGGGCTTGTAGACCTTCACAATCTGCTAATGTCGTCACAACGGGTCCCAGCTTAGTGAGGCCTTGCACTGTAATCTCTTGCGAGGTAATGTGCTTTTGGAAAGATAATGTGTTGACGCCACTGAATTGTCTTGCGTAGCCGTTTGTAGGAAGTGTGTGGTTTGTACCCGAAGCATAGTCGCCGCAGCTGGAATCCGTCAACTCGACATGCTGATATCGACATGGGCAAAATCAGACTTACCTTTCTGGCGTGTATGGTCCAACAAAAACACTTCCTGCATTCTCCACTTTTGCCACGACTTGGCTGGCATTCTCCAAGTGCAAAATGAGATGCTCTGGGGCATAGTCATTTGAGAAAGTGATGGCCTCGTCGGCATTGGATGCTTTCACTATTACACTCTTCGGAATGGATTGACGAACGATATCCATCCTGGATAGGGCATGAGCCTGATCGTCTACCTCTTTCTCGATAGCGGCTAAGTGTTCAGATGTGAGATCAACGGCAACCAAGACCACCTGGGAATCGACACCGTGCTCAGCTTGTGACAACAGGTCTGCCGCCACGAACGCAGGATTAGCGGTGTGGTCGGCAATGACCTTCACATTGTCGTGTATCAGAAATGTCACCTTGAGCAAACTCTAATATGAATACTCACAAGCACTTCAGAGGGACCTGCAGGCATATCTATCGAGACCAATGCATCAGTATCATTTTGCACCAGCATCTTTGCAGCCGTGACCCATTGGTTCCCTGGACCGAAAATTTTGTCCACCTTCGGCACCGTCTCTGTACCGTAGGCCATGGCAGCGACAGCTTGAGCACCACCAACTTTAAGGATAGCCGACGCACCCACAAGGTGAGCGACGTACATAACTTCCGGGGAAATGCTACCGTCAGCCCTAGGTGGTGTGGCAAGCACGATCTCTCTGCAACCAGCGACTTGGGCAGGGATACCAAGCATCAGCGCCGTTGAAGGAAGAATGGCTGTGCCGCCTGGCACGTAAAGGCCTACGCGTGCGATAGGACGTGCGAATCGAGAGCATACAACTCCAGGCATAGTTTCCACAACAAGTTTCGAGTCGTGGATTTGGGCTTCGTGGAATTTGCGGATATTGGCGTATGCTACGTTGATCGCCTGGCGGACGGGCTCGTCTATAATCATAGTTTCGGGAGGGAAAGGGGTGAATACAACTGTGGAAGCTAGTTGGGCCTTGTCAAATTTAGCGGTGAATTCAAGAAGGGCTTTGTCTCCCCGTTCACGTACGGCCTTGACGATAGGCTTGACCTTCTCTATCATTTCGTCAGATTTAAGAACAGGACGAAGGAGCAGTTGTAAACGCTCCTGAGGGGAACATTCTGATAAATCGGCGGTGCGCATTCGAATAGGACCATCGACATCCGTTGAACTTGATTTTTGGGAGGCAGGTGATGTTTGCGCAGACTCTTTTTTCGACCACTGCTGCTTGGCGTTTCCAGGTCTTCGAGTTATCTTCTTGGCCTTTCTATCCAACGACCGTTCGATATCGGCAATACTGACGCCTGATGCTATGCATTTGGTCAATGCAAAGTATAGAAGATCGGCTGCTTCAAATGCAACATCTTCTTTGGTGGTAGCTGCACACAGCTCGTCCGCTTCCTCCATAATTTTCGACTGCAGTAGGTTGGAGTCGTTGAAAAGGCGTTTTGTGTAAGAGCCTTCGGGAGCAGACTGAAGACGAGCCTTTAAGGTGTTTTCAAGTGCGGGAAGGCCGCTTGCCTCAGCAAAGCATGACTGGCGATTGAGGTGACAAAAACCAGCGCCATGCTGGATTACCCTAAACTCAAGACTGTCGGAGTCACAGTCGAGGCGTATCCGTACTACATCCTGTATAGCTCCTGACGTTTCGCCTTTACGCCAAAGACCATGTTTTCGAGACTGATAAACACCCTTTCCTGTAAAGATGCTTTCTGCGATAGATTGTTTGGAAGAATACACGAGTCCGAGGGAGTGTCCTGTTTGAGACGTCACGACGGTTGGAAAAAGGCCATCGGGGCGGTCAGATACAATAGGTGCAAGAAAGCCTTCCGCAATGTTTAGCTGAGTAGTCGAAGTTGCTTCTAGAGTAAGTTGAAATTCGGAAAGAACGAGGGTCGCCCCAATGCTTCTTAGTTCGCGAATACTAGAAGGTGTTGGGCGAGTGGTTGAATTCGGGAAAACGTAGATAATGGAGCCCACGAAGAATTTTGACAGTGAGGAGATAAAGTCTAGATCAATGGAAGGTGTCTTGAGCAAGACTCCAGAAATCCCATTTCTGACCTTGTCAGTCACAGCGCTGACGTTCGCAACATCGAGAAGCAGTAAAAGACGTTCCGACGGTATGACCCCTATGAGTTCTTTTGCCAAGGGAAGTGGCAGGATCACTTTTTCGACTCCCTCATCTAACCATGCTATGATGTCCTGAACATCTATCGCACTGTTATTATCCTGATCGACGAGGAGATAGGAATGCTGAGGAGGTTCTGGAAGGGCCACGGAATGGCTGGCATCCAAAATGACAGGTCCTACACGATTGAGGGGGGCGAAGAGGGGAGAGTTGTCCTCCGTCAAGAGAGGCAAGAACGCTGCCATCGTGGTCGGTCGCAAAAGATCGTGAATCTGACTCGAAAGATTAGATTTGACTCCAGACAATAATGCTCCTATTGTCCAGGTCTTCGATACGCCCTAAGGCTCTGTAGTGTAGCGGTTATCACTCAAGATTCTGACTAATCGGGATTTCTTGTAACCCCGGTTCGATTCCGGGCAGGGCCTACATTTTTGGCGGAGAAAGCTTTTGGGACCTACAATAAGAATTTCCAAATGGAAATGCAATGCGTCATGCCTTGAGTGATGTCATTGACGGCAGTACGTATTGGATGGAAATTGGAAATGCAGAACACATACAAACTTGAAGATGTCCTTCCACATCCCCAACATCCTTCTCGCCGTTCCTCGCAACCCTGTTGCTGCCGTGGGTTTACCTCTTGCCCTTGGATTCTTTAGCGGCAAACCAACATCCGATGTAGGTGCCAGCAATTGGTATGCAGTAGGTGTTCTCATCTTCTGACACATTTTCCCAACTCATTCTGTTTGCCAGCAACTCAAGACACCTCCAGGATGTCCCAGTCGGGAAGCCTTTCCTTTTGTATGGACTTTGCTCTACGTGTCTATGGGATATGCCTCCCATGTGGTCGTCAAAGCCTTGGACAACACCACTCTCGAAAACAATCGGTAAGGCAAATACGTTTGCGTTGAACCGTTTCTGACATCATGCTCTTCTAGGAATGCGTTGACTCTGGGGCTCGCTTTATATTATGCTCAATTAGGACTCAACGTCTTCTGGCCCCCCATTTTTTTTGTGAAGCGAAAGGTCAGTTCTATTATTGTCTTTTTGCTTCGCACTCACTGCCTCCTAGATTGGGCTGGCTTTGTTAGATAGCGTCTTATTAACAGGAATGGCATGGTTCATGACTGTGAGTCCTATGTTCGAATCCATCGCTTCGTCTCGTCTCAAACGCTCCCGACTTTAGAAAATCTTGGATCGGCCCACCAATGGAAAGGCGACATACTTCCTCCTTCCCTACTGCGCATGGTTGGGATATGCTACATACCTCAATGCAGGAATTTGGTGGCTGAATCGCGAACCAAAACCCAAACCTCAGTAATTGCGTTCCTAGTGCAGGGTTTCCTTTTGCTGTTGCACCACGTCTTGTAGTCGTGATCGAAAGGCAGATTGTGGGTATGAGTTTATTGCAATAGGTATATACGTATATACGTCATTAAAAATAGCCACGGCGAAAATAATCGAGTCTTCTGAATACATATATATGGTGCTGCTATATCAATCAAGAGAATCAGGACTCCAAGCGAACTATGCACACTCCAACCTTACCTGCACCAAGCCATCTTGTACAATTTATTTGAGGAATACATTGACAATTTACTGTTTAAAAGAAATTATTATCAATTCTTCGGCAAAAACAAATCAACAGGTGAACGCACAGAAAAATACATGAGCGTTCTCTGGTTCTGATGAAGGGGTTTGAACCCTTTTTGGAACTGGTCAAGCGTGTTCGCAGTTGCGTTGGGGTTTGTTGAGATATCTTCAGATTCGAAGTTCCACCGATCGTTCGGGTCGAAGTGATTCTTCGCCCTCGAACAAACGATGTCGGCATCTGGTGTGAGAAATAACATGAGAAAAAGAACTCATTTACACAGGAAAGAACCAACAGTAAACAGGAGCTGGGATAGACACTGAACGAGTTGACCGCGCATAAACGTGGCACAGTGCAAAAGAGAGCGACTGGAGGGAATCAGCGCTGGAGGAAGAACATCAGTAATAAAAGACTGGGATTGCTTTTCAATCTTACTTGAACCCGTTCTCCTTCATGTTGCTCTGGTGTCAGAAGGGTAATATGTTTTGTGGGATAAGGCTCACGTCGTAAAGCACCTGGAATGAGCTTCAGAATAAGCATGCTTATCCAACGAAGTAGAACATACCGAGTAATGAGCGGGTCGACTAGTTCCTAATAAACCTCCATGGCTTTGCAGGTAGAAATCAAATTCGGTCGGATGAGCTACCTCGCGATCTATGACAGTTCCGGCAGGGCAATTCCCACTCCTATCAGCATCCCTCTCTGACTGGGTGAAGAATCTTGCGAAAGACGTTAGGCCAGGTTTATTGTACCAATTGACACCCTACCTGACATGGTGGCGCTTGCCGACTACGATGACTGTAATCTTGGGGTCAATACGCAAGTCATGGCATGCCTCTGCAAAACATGATAAGCACAACGGATAAACATGAAGAAAGAAAAGGTTATGCTTTTTAGAAGAGGAAGCTCTGAAAATCACGACATGAATACATAGCAGGGACCAAAAAACGAAAGGTAACGTAGTACCTAATTCCAGGACTTGTTGAAACTGTCCTTCTGAAACGCCGTCTGTTTGAGAAAAAGTTTCAGACCTCGTACCGTACCATAGGTTCAAATATCCGACAGACCGCGATAAAATATGATTCGCTTCGGATTAACTGTAGTTCCCTGCTTCTTCTCGACGTATTGTCGGTATCTCATGTAGAGGTTCAGGATATGCTGGAGGACAAATGATTAACAGTATGCAAACAAAGAATTGCATATTAACCTTGCTCATTTCGTAGAGGTCCGCGATCATCTCCTGCCGAGATGCCTGAACACGAGAATCTGGAATTATTTGTGTTGGGTACTTGTCATTCACTTCGAATGAGTAGGTTGACTAACCTGCAACGTATTTGGCGGTATCAGAATCGACATTCCCTACAAGGGATGTGAAAGAAGGACGTCCGTCTGCCCCAGGAGCAGGATGTATGACATCCGCGCCTAAAGGAATACGTAAGAATCCTGCATAACCTCAGCTCCAAGCAACAAGACATACCCATCACTAGTGTTGGGTGATGAGGATCTGTCAGGACGGATACAGATGTAGAGTCGGGAATAGTGTTGATCCCCCCAAGTTTGACGTTGATTCTGTGAAAAGGAAAGGTCAGACTCCTATATGAGGATGTGAGAAAAGGAAGCTGACTTCAAGCTGACGTTGGCAAAATATTGCGGTTTGGCTCTGGAGCATTTAATGCTTTTCATGCATTGTGTAGGGATCCCCATCTACAGTGCGATTGAGGTAGAAGACACAACGAGAAAAAAGTCCTTACTTCGACATCCCCAAAGCTGCAAGGGGAAAACATCAGAAAAGAAAGGGCAGCAGGAATAGTCGAACTCACTATTTAACTTGGGTATAAATATCATTACCACCCTCCGGGAGGACGATGACGAATAGATTTGGTCCATTTTTATATCTTTGATAGATTTCTTGCCCAACGCTCCGAAGGGTCTCACGAACCTGGGTCTGAGCACTTCCGAAACGTACGTATTCAGTCATATCGATTTTAATGCCTAGACTTGTATCAGGGGGTGGACGTAGATCTTGCGAAAGGATTTCCCTTACCAACGTCTCTAAGGCCGTCGACCAAGCCTCGCATAGTCTCGTTAACCGTCTGATCGTTGAATCTATTACGACCCTCAAAGACTATGAATGCCCATCGGTAGATAGGATCTGTAGGTTTGTAAAAACGCTTGTCGACCCTATTGTAATATTGGAATGGTATGAGCACTGGGATTTTAGCGAACGATCGTTGCTCACATATTCCAGGATCCGTTACTTGGTACCTATTATCGAAACTTGAGGTCCAACGTCAAAGTTCGTAAAAGTGGATGGGCTCACAATTGTCGGTTGTCTGCTACCTGCGCCGTAGCGTAGAGTGGGAGGTTTTAATACACGCGCTCTGACCGCCAATGGTCCGTCAGTGTTTACATGCATACCAAATTGGCGAACGTATTCAGATTGGCCGTAAGCTAATACCTTCATGCAAGTAATGAGTTCTAAGTAATTATATACCTGACACGAGCTCGCTCACATTCAATCCATTCTTAATGCTTTCAAGGCGATCCCGAGGCCGCTTGGTAGCGAAGTCAAGGACATCCTTGGTTTTTTCGGCCGGCATCTGCTTCCGCATTATCTGTCCGGGAGGAACTGTACAAAGTTCGAGAGGGATTTTTGCTCCAGATCCAACCTATAGCACTAGAATGAACGATCATCAACTATTGCTTGCGGAAACGACTGACCTCAGCGCATATAACATCGGGAAATTGAAGTGGTTTATTTAATGCTTGCTTGAAATACTCCGCCACAGTCATCTCACCACCTTGGTGAAGCGTGAACTTCAGAGTGCTAGCACCTTTATCTGTCAATTTTTTGACGACTCGTGGGGTGACAGCTACGCGTCCGCCAGCTCCAGCTGTGGGAGTTATGATCCTAATACCTGAGATGAACCTCTGGAGCTGAACGAGCTCCCGCGTTGAAAGATTGGCAAGCTGCATGGGGTGTTGTTTCCGCATATATTCCATGCAGAGTCGGAGAAGCGGACCGGCTTTGTACATTGTTGCAGTGGATATATCAATGTTAATGAGCATATGGCCAATACCAGGTCGGACAGACTGGAAGTATCCGCGCCATAGCTGAATTCCAAGGCCAATATCCTTCGTTTCACGATCGGTGAAAAATGATCGTGAATTGAAAGGGTAGTTCATAGTGGGTTCCATGCGGATGACGACATTGAGAGCCTAATCCAAGCCTTGATCAACTCTCGAACGCATACGCATTACAACAAGACGGGCATACTGTTATCGCAGTAAGCACATTACTATCATGAGATTGCTGGCCTGCGATGTATCGCTTGAGGACTCTACGAAAAGAAGCTTGTTACAGAGACGGAAAAAAGTGGCACAATGACGAGTACGTACTCAGGATTAATCTGTGCAACTTTCGCCAGTCGAACTTTGTAAATCTTGGGTGCTCTACTACTGGGATCACCTCTGCCATCGGACAGGGTTACTTCAAACTACAGGAGAACGATAATTCGTTGATCAGTGGAGAATGGGAAATCAAAATTCACCTCATGTGCACCCGTTGCACCAAATGGCAACTCTCGGGCAACAAAGATGTTTTTACGACCGTCATAAACGGCGCGCGGAGTGAAGATCTCAGGCGCAATCCTCGTTTGCAATGACTTAATGATGTCCATATTAAGTCGAGCAGGGAGAGTTTTCTCGGACGGAGTAATGACTGCAAAAAGTTTTAATAATGAACTCAATTACTTTTATCAGAGGCAAATATACTGACCGACTATAGAGAAGATTAGAAGATGTTCTATATATCTATTTTGCTGGAAGACTCACCAT